TTTTTTTTTTTTTTTTTTTTTTTTTTTTACTCGAACGAATCCTTACGGCAACAGGTGACAACGCGACTGGACCACGTGACGCACAAAGAAAAAAAGCTGGCATCTAACAAGACCATCTTTGCACCTCTCGCTTCACCTCCCTGAATCGGTTTTCATGGGAATAAAATGAACTGGAGACGGATGAAGATCGACAGGTCAAACTTGAAGCTGGTACGAAGGCAACTTTCCCTTTTCGCATTTTTTTTAATGCTATGAATTGCAATTGCAAAACATTCAGCACTGAATATTCTCATGGTCATGGAACATCCCAACCGAAGAATGCCGAAATTTGTCAAATAAAAAATGCAAAATTCTGAATTTTTTGCAAAATGTGGAATTTTTGCAAAGTCGATCTTCGACCAGAAATCCCGACATTGGGTCGGGATTTCTCGTCGACTCTCACGAGGCCGACCCGGGTCGGCCGGGTCGGCCTCGGTGAGAACTCGCCCCTCAACCGGGTGGACTCGATCGGAAGCGAAGACTCACTTCTTCAGGTCGCTCTTCCCGGTCTGGTCGTCGTTGTCGTCGCTCTCGGCGTCGCTGACGTGGGCCGTCGCCTTCAGGTAGCTCGTCCGCCTTTGAACTCTCTCTGCATCTGTTCCAGACGCCAAAAAAAATTTTCACGACCGATCCGGGATCGATCCGGCAATAAAAAATATGGACGGCGACGAATCTCACCGAGAACTTTGCGGCTCCTCTTCACGACGGAGCCTGCCTCTGGTCGTTTCCTCTCCACGTCTAAAAATCACGAGACACACCGAATGACAAATAATCCCCAAGACAGACCCTGGGGGACCGCGACGCGAGAGACAACAAAGGACAACAAAGTCTGACCCTTACACGACTTTCGCCGAAGAAGTTAAAAGGAAAGGAAAACGCATTCAGTACGTATAATGCACGAATTGCAGAACCCTCAGACACTTCATTAAAGCAACGACCTCCAAATAAGGAGGATTTTCATTGAAGCTAACACGCGCATGACTTTGCAGAGGTCCCCGTCTCATTCTGCAGGGCTTCGCTAACACCTACGCGAATCTACCAAGCGAGTGATCAAAAGTCAAGACTGAATGAAGGGAAAACAGGACGAAAAACACACACACGGGTGAGAGGCACGATAAACAATAAAAACAATAAATAAATAAAAATCACACCTTGCTGGGGTGCATGCTCAAACGAGGAGACTAAGGTGGAGAGGCTGCGGTCGGTGCTAGCGTCAGTGGGCAGGGATTCCAAGGTGGGCTCCTCGCAGACGAGGGGGAGCGAGGACGCCGACATCCCGGGCTCGGCTGGCCTCCACGGGTTCGCGATGGGGAGGCTCGTGGGACGAGGCTGGGACCGGGTCACGGGGGAGGTCGGATGGGTCGCGGGTGAGGTCGGATGGGTCACGGTGGAGGTCGGATGGGACGAGGTGGAAATGGGTGACAGGGTGTGGTCTGGGAGAGTGAGCGCTTCCCCTGCGGTTGGGGTGGATGCCATCGCGTCGCTACTGCTTTCCCGGCCTCTGACCGACCCCGTCACGTCTAAGGGAAACACATCCGTTCGTGCTCCAAACAAAGCCAACAAAACGAGGCGAGGATACTATGTTAGGGGTTAAAATATGAGAGGGTCACACGGTCTCCATGCTAGGATTCATGCAAATGCGGCAAGTAAAAACACTCATAAAAAATAAAGATGCAAAAAAAAATAAAAATAAATGGGAAGAGGAACTTTAAAAACACTGCTCTACGTAAATGCTAACGAGTTTTCAGTTTCAGTCTCTGATGCAAAGGCTTTCACCAGATTTATGCTAGACCTTCAAGCAACAACATGATTTTGGGTACAGCAATTTACTCGTTCAAATTCATATTCTTTACATTTCCCAACAAACTAAAGGGCAAAATAAAGGGTCTGGCACCTCCCGGTGATAAATTACTCCAATATTTTTTTAATCCAAGGAAACACAAGCACTGCTTCATTTCCCCCAAAAGTTAATATAAAAAGCTTACAGCATTTTGGGCGATGATGTTGCCATCTAGCTTCGTGATTCTGATGCTCCTGAAATACTGTATCTATTTTAAAACAAACCAATGTCCCCGATCAAGCTGCACCTTACACAGTTTCCTTCATAAATAGGATTAGTCCTAGATTATAAAACAAACAAAAAACTAAATTATCTATCAATTTGACCAAGAGCAAAAGAACACACAATTCTTGGCTCATGGGCGACAAGAAGGCGACATGAAGCTCAAGGATTGTTGCAAACCAGCAGATGGGGGGAAAAATTTCCCTCGGCTGATAACTGATAGCTGATGAACTGCTGATGACTGGACACGAACTTCAAGTTCCTAGTCACGATTGGTCGAGAGATGATCGCGCAAACCCCCTTTGCCGAATGCAATGACACGGAACAGATTTGGCGTGATTTTGCAATTCTCAATTGTGCTGACCGTGAGAAGCTGGATCATGTGAAAAGAGTGTGTGTGAAAAATGCAAGGTTGGGTTTTGCACAAAAAAAAATGCTTGGTTGCTTTTCGCAATTGCAACTGGTTAACATATTTCTCGCGGATTTCGCCACAAAGCAGTCAGCAGAGCCAGAATTCCTTCTATTTTTTTTTTATTTTTGACGCAAAACCTGCTCACAAGCCAATATTCTCGACCTTTCCTTGCCTGAATGCAAACACGCCAAGCATAAAACAGCTTCTGCATCGACAACACTCCCACGTAATTCCCCTTCCTTGCAACGCAATTCAACCATAGAATCCACCACCTCCACAAACTCAGGGATTACAAGCCGGAAATGCCTTCGCGTGGAATCCGCTCATCTGGGTCGCCCCCGCGCCCCCGCCCCCCCGCCCCCCTCGGCCACCCTCCTCCCAAAACACCCACACAAACCTTCACCTCCGAGTATCGGATACCCGAGCCCTTTCGAGGACTCATTCCTCCCGGGACTCTTCTCTCCAAGGACTCATTCCCCCCCTATCTCCACTCCTTCCTCACTGAGCAACTTCGCAGTTCCGAACAGGATACCCCATGGCGGCATCACGAAACGGAAACGTCCTCCCCTCCCCCGCTCTTCTTCGCAGCGGCCGAGCCACCTTCCTCTCGGCGGCCGAGCCACCTTCCGCCCACTTCTTCCCATTCCACGTGCTTCCAATACCTTACATCCCCGATCGTGAGGCAAGGCATCAAGGCCAACGGGCAGGAGGAAGTGCGCGAGGAATCGCATCCCCGGGGGAATTGCATCCACCGAACGTATCCAAGCACGACCGTTGAGCAATCCCTCTCGCTCCCCTAGTCCACGCGGACTCCAAATCCCCAATTTCCCCACGTTTTCCCATCAAAAAAGCCACTCGTTACGCAACCCCCTCTCCGACCGACGACTCCTTCCTCGCCCCGCCCCCCCATCGCCCCCCTCTGGAAAGCGAAGCACCCCCGTAAAAAAAAAAACGACACAAGTCGACTTTCCCGAAAACCCACAAAACGCGAACCACAGCAGGCGAAAAACCGCACGAAAAAAACAAAACCCCGGGGGGCCCCTCCGCACAGAACTCACGAGACATCACGTCTCCTCAAGCCCAATGACGAAACTCCCCGTGACTCATCGGCCGCTCTTTTTAACCCGACGGTTTAACCACGCGTTATCGGCACGGCCCACAACCCAGGCACATCCGCATCCACTTTTTTTATTTCTCATTTTTTTTTTACGCCTTTTGTCTCCTCGAGGAACGCAACGACAGCTCCCCGCACCCGGAAGTCCTACTTCTCCGGGTTAATGACCACGGCGTTAATTACCGCCTGTGAACTAAATGCCCTCAATCATCTCTATCTGGCACACACATGGACCCCAAGAGAAAAAAAAAAAGAAAGGAAAAAAAGAGTGCAAGAAACAAAAACCGAAAGGCAACATCCCACGAGATCAGAAACCCCTGTGCAACTCATATCTCATAATCACCCACTAATTACACCTCATTACCGTGTCATTCTCCCCCCCCCCC